TCTGGTCCAAACTCCCTGCTCAAGCAAGGTCATCCTAGACCACATGGCACAGGATTGTATCCAGACAGTTCTTGAATATCTCCAGTGAAGGAGACTCCACAACCTCACTGGGCAATCTGTTCCAGAGCATGGTCACCCTCACTGGAAAGAAGTTCTTCCTTACACTTAGGTGGAAGTTTCTGCCCATTGCCTCTTGTCCTCTTAGTTAGCACCACCATGAAGAGCCTGGCTCCATTCTCTTGTCACCCTCCCTCCAGATATTTATATACACTGATAGTGTTCCCTCTCAGTCATCTCCTTTTGAGGCTGAATAGGCCCAGCTCCCTCAGCCTTTCCTTGTAAGTGAGGTATATCAGTCACCCAATGATCTTTGTCACCCTCTGGTGGACCTGTTCCAGGAGCTCCATGTCCCTCTCATACTGAGGAGCCCAGAACTGGATACAGAACTCCAGATGCACCTCATCAGGGCTAGGTAGCGGGGCAGGATCACCTCCTTCGACCTGCTGGCAATGCTCTCCCTGATGCCATTGGCCTTGGTCACAAGGGCACTGCTGGCTCATGGGCAGCTTGTTGTCCACCAGGACCCCCACAAAGCTGTTTTCCAGCAGGTCAGCCCCAAGTCTGCATGGGGATGACTTGCTGGGGTTATTCCCCCCCAGGTGCAGGACCTTGCATTTGCCTTTGTTGAATTTCAGATAAGTTCTTCACTGCCATCTCCCCAACCCGTTGAGGTCCTTCTGAAGGGCTGCACACCACTCTGGTATTGGCCACTCTTCTCAGCTTTGTATTGTCAGTGAACTTGCTGAGGAGCCATCTAACCCTTCATCCAAGTCACTATTGAGTAAGTTAAACAATACTGGGCCCAGTATAGAACTTTGGGGGACACCACTAATGAAAAGCCTCCAACTAGACTCTGTGCTGCTGATTAGCACCCTCTGGGACCTGACATTCAACCTTCCTAAGATTGCCCATGAGGATATTGTGAGAGACAGTGCTGAAAACCTTGCTGAAGTCCAAGTAGATAATATCCACTGTTCTCACCTCAAACATCCAGGTAGTTGTCTTGTTGTAGAAGGCAATCAGGTTGGTCAAACACGATTTGACTTTAGTGAATTCATGCTGGCTCTCCTGCTCAGCTTCTTGTCTTCTATGTGCTTAGAGAGCACCTCCAGAATAAGGCACTCCATCACTTTTCCAGGGATTGAGGTGAGGCTGACTAGCCAGTAGCTCCCTAGGTCCTACTTCTTGACCTCTTTGAAGATTGGGAAGACATTTGCTTTCTTCCAGTCCTCAGGCAACTCTCCCGATTGCCAGAACCTTTCAAAGATGATCACTATGATGCCCACCACCTCCCTGAGCACTTGTGGATGCATCCCATCAGGGCCCATGGACTTGTGGATGTCAAGTTTGTCTAGATGATCTCTAACCCAATCCTCCTTGACTGAGGGAGTCTGCCTTCCAACATTTCCTCTTTCCTAGTCTCCTGGGTCAGACATTCCCGAGAACTGGTCTTGACAGTGAAGACTGATACAAAGGCGGCGTTCGGTATCTCTGCTGTCTCTGCATCCTCTGTCACCAGGGTCCCTGCTCTATTTAGTACTGGGCCCACATTTTCCTTAGTCTTCCTTTTGTTGTTGACATATTTGAAGTACTTGCTGTCCTTTTCATTCTTGGCCAGATTTAATTCCAGATGAGCAGTGGCCTTCCTCATCTTATTTCTACATACTCTTGACAGCATCTCAGTATTTGTTCCAAGTAGCCTAACCCTGATTCCACATCCTGTGTAACTCCTGCTTGAGCCTGAGTAATGACAGGAGGTCCTTGTTCACCCCCACTGTTTAAGGAACCCACAAGACTGCAGACTGTGTATCCTCAGAGATTTCAAGTACGAAGAACAGAAGGACTGACATCTCTGCCTTGAGCAGTCATTGCCCAGAGGAGCAGCAGGTGCTGCTAGATGCCCATTTGCTTAATTTCATGCTCATGGGGATGCGACGTTCTTGAGTCTGGAGAAGGTAGTACTTGAATACGCACCAAACCTCTTGGACTCTTATTCTTGGCAGGGCCTGTTCCCATGGGACTCTTCCAAGAAAGTCCCCGAGAAGCTAAAGTTATCCCAGAGCTCTGAGCTACCTTGAAGGTAGCTTCCTTCAAGGATGAGAGCTCACCTTTCAGATGACTGCGAGGGAACATCATTAGGGAAGGGGTAGAGGAAGTGACTCTGCATGCCACAGGATCAGAAATGCATTCAGCAGGGAGCCAGGGCTCACTTCTGGAGCATGCCTAGTGCTGCCTCCTGAAGTCCTGTGCCAAGAGGCTGATCTCAGCATGTGGGAGCATAGAGTACAGCGGTCATGGCAGAGAACTGCATCCCTCACCTCAGATCACAGGCTGATTGTGTCCCTCAGTGCCTCATGAATGCAGGATGCTCTCAAGTGGGTCTGTCCCAGCCTAGGGACAGCTCTTTCCTCAAGGGAAGGTTTATCTACTACTCCTGCTGCTGATATAAAAGTTATGCCTGTCCTCACCTAGGCACAACAATCCAAATGTTGGGGAGGGAGAAGCCAGAACAATCAGCACATTTCTAAACTGCCCAAGTAAGCTTCCACCAACATGGACTTCCGAGGGGTGGGGAAGCTGATGAATAAGCCTTCTTAAATATTCAATGGGAGGATCTCATTGCCAATCCATGCATGCATTGCATGATCCTAGAAGGATGGTCTTGGACAAATGTTCATGGAGATCACCAGTCAGCACACACAGCCCTGAGCCCAGATGCATTCTGCCACAAAACCCCATTCAGCCTGTTCTTGGACTGTACCTGGGCATTAAACATTCGCATTAATGCATGCACACCGAGTAAGACAGCACATCATACTGCTGCCTGAACAGGCACTGCCAAGAGGTGTCCTGGAAAAGGGATGACATTAGGGACTCAAGAAGCAATACAGCACTGTAACCAACAGGGCTCATGGAGAAAAGCAGGCTAGACACTCCCCAAATAATGGAAAGGAGACCACAGAGGAGTTCAGTAGATGGAAGGACCACATCTCCTTGGATCCAGCATCAAAGGTGTGAGGTCACCCACTGCTGCACAGGTGGATGATCTGGTTAACACCAGAGGCCTTGGGCTGTGCTTCCCATGCTGAGAAATTGCTGAGGCAAAGGATCCATGCTGCTTGTCCTGCCAGAGAGGTCTTGGAGGCTGTGAAACTGGTGGAGGAACAGAGCCTCTTGTTGGTGATACAATTCACCAGAGAACAGCATTTTGCACATATGGGTGGCGGAGATTTTGGTTTCACCGCAAATGGAGTTCTGACAAGCAGTGTGGGACTTGGGTCCCCAAGTGCCTCAGTGCATGGGCATCTAGCAGCACCTGCTGCTCCTCTGGGCAATGACTGCTCAAGGCAGAGATGTCAGTCCTTCTGTTCTTCGTACTTGAAATCTCTGAGGATACACAGTCTGCAGTCTTGTGGGTTCCTTAAACAGTACCAAGGCAAAGGTATGCATGTCCTGGATTATGCATGGGAGAAGCCAGAAGTTGCCAGCCACTCACAGATCTCTCCACAGGAGAGAAAGAACAGAAAACACTGCAAAGACGTGTACATGAAAGGGGATTTGCATTAACCAGAACAGCCTCCAGGCAGGATAGAAAGTGATTCCTGATCTGCTTCGTGTGAGGCATCATCACTTGAAAGCTAAAAGACTGATATATTAAAATATTTCCTCTGGCTTTAACCTTTTGAGGAGGAAAAATACAAAGGGAAGAGGGAAAGAAATGGAAACAGTTGGGCAAGGTGGCATGGAGGAGAGGGCCATGGCAAGCACTGAGGCACACACCTCCCACCTGCCTGCACAGCCACAGGCAGCCAGGGCAGGGGAGCACACCTCTGCTGCTACCCAGTACCCTGCTGCTCCCATTAAACACTCTCCTGGCTTCATTGCAAGAGGCAAAGATGGCCCTCACGAGTTGGAGCCCAGCCACAGCAGACCACTGGCTGAAGAACTGCCATTTCCCAGCAGCAGCAGTGCTCCAGCTGCACCCTGGCCTGGGAGGTTCCCTTGGCTGCTGACTTAGGCTGTTTGCAGGGACTCACCTCCCTGCCAGCTCTAACCAGCCAGCTCAGCCCATGATGAAATGCCAACACATGCCTTAACACATCTTACAGGCACAGGCAGAGAACCTCAACCTGCCCAAATGCTGACACTCTGTGCTGAGGTGCACAGTTGCCATGGTGCTCACAGCTCAAGCATGTGGCAGTGCTAGCCACCCAAGCTGAATCTACGGAAACTCTTACATCTGTCAGCCCCTAATCTATCTACCTTACTCAATCTTAGAGATAATCCCCAAACTCTGCTTTCTCACCTATTCAAGACCTTTAGTGAGAATAATTTTCCTGCAGAGTTTCACCTGCCTTGGCTGTACAGCCTGGGTCCACTGCTCAGTGGATCACACCACCCCTCAGCAGGCTGCTTGCCCTATCCTGACACCCTGCAGGCCCCAGCCTCCTGTCACTGTCACCAGAGGAGCACATGCTGCAGCCAGCCAGGCAAATGCTACAAGAGATGGTGGCACAGGGGATCCCCCACCGAGATTACACAGAGGTTGGATGTGGCACTGAGGGAAGGTGAGAAGATGCTCTGGGATTCCCTGGTGTGGCAGAGACCAGGCAACAGAAGAGGAAAGTTCACAAGTCACAAGCCAGAATCAGCTTCATTTCCAATCCCTCAGCCTCAGCATCAATGATGCTCCAGGTTAAGGACAAGGCAGACCACACAGCACCAGTGCTACATGCAGCCTGTTGAGGGCCAGTAGCTCTCAGAACAGGTATCTCACCACTGTCTCCTCTTCCAGTTCCATCGGGCACGCCAATAGGACAGGACTGTCCCAAGAGAGGCCCCCACTGTTGTGGGACTGGAGGTCTGGTGGATGACACCCCCCGCCTCAAGCCACATGTTGCCCGCGGCAGCAGAGGGAGAGCCCACACCCAGCAAAGCTGTAGAAAAGGAAATTGTCCCATTTAATGACCTCGCTCCCGTAACACAGACGTGAGCGCACCACCGACGTGTGGCAAAGCAAAGTGCACAGTGAGTGGGACTCAGCCCCCACCCTGGAGCAGGGTGGGAGGACTCGAGGTGCCCAGCATGGCAGGGGGACCAGCCAGGCGCCCGGCCAGCAGCAAGGACAGGGAGAGCCCCAGGCTCGGTCCAGTTGGCACCAGTGTCAGGTCCAGTTTGCAGGGAGGTACAGCTCTCATTCGGCTCTGTGTAGCGCAGGGAGGGCAGGGGGCAGGTCAAGTGTACCAGGACGGACGCCAGAGGAGGTGGGTCTGGGGGCACCTGGGACCAGGTCCTGGAGAACGCCACTGTGGCAGGTTTGGAGCCTCCCTGCCCGAACCACGGCTTAACCAAAGCAGAGAAAGGGAATAGAGAAGGGGCTGAAGGCTGAGCAGCCCAGGTAAGGGCCTTCAGGTCTATCTAGCTATTCCCATTTGCAAGTTATCCGGTGAAGGCGGGGTGTGGGATCTGCCAAGCACCCCAAAACAGGAGTGAGCCTGGGTGACAGACGTTTACCAGCGATTCCACGTCCCTGACAGTCTTTCCCAGGTGTGACTCAGGCACCCCGTACCAGGAAGGGGGTCCGAGGGAGTAGGGCATCCCCTCATTATCTGATGGAAGCGTCGCTGGGGGGATCGCGGTCGGACTCCTCGCTCTCCTCATTTGGAGCCGACTCGCTGTTGGAGGCTGGGGTGAAGGCAGGAGACTTTCTGCAGAGAAGAGTAAAGGGCAGCGGTCACAGCATTGCCCAGGGGGAGGGAAAGAACCCAGTTCAGTATGGGCAGGGGGCACCCAGAGTAAGGAGAAGAGAAGCTGAAGTGCTCCCCTGGATGCTGGGGAGGGTGTTCCAAAGGACATCAGCAAAGAGGTCAAGACCATGAAGCAGAGCTGGGGGAGATGCTGCAGGGGCCTGCCCAGTGCAGGACCCAGACAAGGCATGTAAGGCTAGGGATCTATGAAAGCCCACCACAGAGGTCCCCAGCCTGGAACCACTCTGGCTCTGCACGCCTTTGAGGACCTATACAATGTCACTTCACAACAGCAACACCTCTCTTCATCGGGGGTGTCTGGCTTCACCTGTCAGAACTGACTCCTGTGTGCAGCCAACCTTCTGCAGAGGTGGCAGCATGACCTGTGTGGAGGCTGATCACCAGGAGTCCCAGAGCCTCTGGGAGCTTCCCTCTCCCCATGCCACATCCAGGGCAAGGCGGAAGTACGACATCTTTCAGCTCCCACTCACCACCACCCTGGCTCCAGACCTTGCCCAGGGCACGGGTATCCCATCCCTCCTTCTGAAGCTCACCTGTCCCCAGACTGGGTGATGAGCCGACGGCAAGTCTCCATCTGCACATCCAAGCCTCGCTTCATGCTGCACATTTCCATGTACTCGTGAAGGTGCCGGTTCATGTCGTTCTTGGCTGTGGCCAACTCCAGCTGCACAAGGGAAACGGTGCAGACATGAGCCCAGGACATGTGGTACAGGGCAGTGGGCATGGTCAGACTCGGGGCTGCTGCCAATGACCTGCTCCAACATTGTCTCCCTCCCTCAGGGACCCACTCCCCCACTTCACACCCTTCTGTGCCATGTACTCCCCACTTCTTCTCTCACCTCTATTTGGTCGATGGTTTCCTGGTACTCCTTCTCACGGCTCTTGAACAGTGACTCTGTGTCCTTAATCACCTTCTCCAAGCTGTCGTCCTGCTGCTGAGGAGAGCAGACGGCATGTTTAGAGGCAGGGAGGCATCCAACATGAGGAACCAAAGGCAAGAGAGAGAGAAATCAGAGAAAGAATTGGCAACACTGGGAAAAGAGGAAAAACATAAACAGTGTAGTACAAATAAGGCATGAGTCACTCCTGCCAACATGAAATTCAGACACCCAGGACTCGCCATTCTGGGCAGTGAGCACATCAACCCAGAACATGCCCAGAAATGCACAGAAGCTTTGGAGAGCACAGACCATGCCCAAGCATGACACATCCCTTGGGGGACTGCCGAAGGCTGAAGGTGCAGGATGACAAGGGCTTTGGCCAGACATTGAGGCCTCTATTTGGACAGTGGGCAGGTAGGCTGGAGAACTTGAGCAAGGGATCACCAGAGACCAGTCCAGCCAGAGGAGGTCTTCTCTTCTGGGAGGTCTGTGGCTTTCCCCATGTGTGTGGATCACATCTTTCAGGCTACAGGTCCCGAGTCTGTCTCTAACAAGGAGACCTCAACAAAGACATGGTAACATATTCATGCAGAAAAGGTGGGAAAGCATCTGTACAGGCCTGAAAAGGGATAGAGGGGCTGAAATCTGGTCCCTGAGGGAGCATCGTTCCAGGCTCAGGCAGGACCAAATGTCTCAACCCAAGGCTGGATCTTCGAGGGGACCTGACACCACTGTTACCTCCCCCTGCACCTCTGCAGCTGCAATGGCATATCCAGAGAAGTCCTCCCAGAGGAGCAGCGTTTCTTCTGTCTCCTCCCATGTGAGGCTGTCACAGTCATCCTCAAAGTCATATTCCCTCCTGGAAGCAAGGGAACAGCATATCAGCAC